CAGCCCTGTGCTCCCGGCGCGCCGACCACCACAGCCGGGCGCTCGTGACCTCGAAGACTGAGGCTTCGCGTTTCAGTGGGCGCCGAGGAAAGCGGGGAGACCGTCTCCCCTGTGCCGTCTCCCTGGAGACGTCCTCCCTTAGCCCCCGTCACCTGCGCCTCTTCAGCTGGAGTCTCGGTGCTGAATGTCCATCACGCGGCCGTAATCTCACCAGGTCTGGGATCCTGCATGGACAGTTTTTCTTTCCCTCTTTAATCACTTCAGCTATTCGTACACCATTTTTTACGGGTTATCCTCCGTGAGAACCTTTTGGGAATGTTTCTTTGTATGTAGCGTGTGGGTTTTTTCTGGTTATAGTAAAAAAAATTCTTTTTTGATCTTTGGTTTTCAACAGTTAAATTAGGATGTGCTTGGTTGCGGTTTCTTTGCATGAATCAAGCTTTGGGATTCACTTGAGTATGTAAGTGTATGTCTTCTACCAAATTAGGATGTCTGCGACCATCGTCTCCTCAGCCGTTTCTCCTGTCCTCGGCTCCCTGTGAGAGAGGGGAGCTGAGATGGTTCCTTCGACTCATCTTTGGGCCGAGTGTCTTTCAGGTTCCAGGTGTTTCTGTTCTCCCAGTCCCACACGTGTCCTCTCATGACCTTCAGATTGGATAATTTTTATTTATCTCTGAGTTCTTGACTCTTGCCCATCTCTAGCCTGTGGGCAGGATCTTCTTCCCTTCCTGTGAGATTTTATTTCAGATAATGTCTTTTGGCTATGAACAGCTATTTCTTGGTGCCTTTGACTACACTAGCTCTTTAATGTCCTTGTCTGCTCATTCACAAGTCATCTTTGGAGCCAGCGTCTTTTAGATTTTATTTTCCTCTTGAGAAGGGATCACATTTTCATACTTTCTTATATTGACAGGTAATTTTAGGATAGATCCTAGACGGTGTGACTCGTAGTGTGCTACAGAGACTCTGGCTTCAGCCATGGACCTCTGGTGAGCACGCTCGTGTCCCTTCCTGGCTTCCTTGCCTGCTTGAGCAGGGAGGTGGCTGCTCTCGGGTGTGCCCCGCTGTGCCCTGCCCGCTTGCTCAGCGCCTGTGCTGTGTGCGCAGTTCTGGGCTCAGCTAGAGGTTTGGGCGGAACTTACACCGAGGATTGGAGACACCCGCACTCTTCCTCCGAGATTCCCCCCTCACGTCCCGCCAGCTGGGGACCCAGACTCTGCTCTGCGTCCTTCAGGCCGGGCTCTGGCCAGTGGCCAGTCAGTAGAAGTGGGAACTCTGCCGGGCCGCTGCCCGCCTCATGCTCACTTCCTGCAGAGTCTCTGTTGCGGTCTTCTGCTGTCGTCATGGTCTGTACCTGCTAGCTGCAAGAAGGTTAGTCAGTAGGGGCTGCTTAGACATGCCAGAAGTAGGAAGAAGTCCCCATTTTTAAGTATGTCTTAGAAATCGCTTTCTCTTCTTTTTGAGCTGGGAACTGACAGCCATACCAGAGAGCAGTGCGACGCGGTATGTTCTTGGACACAGGGCTCCGTTCTTCTGAGCCTGTTTACATGCTGTAATGGGTGGCAGCAGTCAGCTGCCAGGACAGCCAGCCACAGACACGCATCTCAAGTCTCCAGACTTGTTTTCTGAAAAGATAGGAGGGGTTGGGGGAGGCTGTTAAAAGGCCAGCTCATTCCTCTGTGGTGAGGCAATGTGCACTAATCCAAAGATCGTGTTTCAGAACTGGTATGCCCATGAACTTGCCAACACAAGTCATTTCTCTCGTGGCTTTTCCCTGCCATTTATTGTTGTTGTCTGGCTGGCTGTTCTCCAGGTTTGCCAGGGTATCTATGAATCCAGACTGATATTATGCCCAGAGCCAGTTTCATGATGTCATTGTCAAAGTACGTAAGTTCAGGTGACGGAAGTCCAATCTTTTAAAAAAATGAAATAAAAAGCAGGGTCTTCCCTGGTGGCGCAGCAGGGGACAGCGCAGCACTGTGAAGCTGTCACAGCCACCGCAGCACAGGTCTGACCCCCGACCCAGGGGTGGCGTCGGGGCACAGCCGACTGCTGTCTCCCGCTGCCCCCTCCCAGTGCACTTCGTCGACCTGCCTGTTCTGCTCCCCGCTCTGCCTCTGGTGAAGCCTCTCACCGCCCCCGTACCTCTGACCTGTACCCCAGTTCTGTGCAATAAATAATCTTTTTTAAAAAATTACTTGAATAGAATATTTTATTTTTAAAGGGATAGCTCCTTTGTAGCTTCAAAGAAAGTGCAGTCACCCAGGGAAAATGCCACACAAACACAGCAGATAAAAACCTCATTTCTTTCCCTATATATGACGTGAGTAAAGGTGTAGACCGAACATTTATTGGCAGGTTTTACCGAGCTTTTTTTCATGAAAGTGTCTTCATCCTAAAGTAAGCAGGACAGGCAGACGCTCCTTTGCGAAGGGGGGCCTCCCTTCCGGGACAGTGTGAGGCCCGTGGCCGCTCGGGCCGAGTGACCTTGGCTGCTCCGGGCCGTCTGTTTTGGAGACGTGTGTTTGTGTCTTAGCTGGGACTGGAAACAAGGCACCTACTAGCCTTGCCTGCTCCCCGTGGAAGTACCTCACACATGAGGTCACACTGTTTTGCTCCTGGAGGGAATTTGGTGAGGTCTCCCCGGCCCAGTTCCTGGAAGGTGGCGAGACGTGGCGCAGGGAGGCAGCCACGAGAGGACAGGTGGCTCTCAGGCGGCGTGTGCTGCTCGCGCGAGGCGGGGCGGCGGAGACGAAGCCGCCTGTCAGCACAGCCCCCCACGACGCGCCCCCTGGCTGGGACGCCTCGGTCCCCGCGTGCCCTCGTGTGTGTTCCGAGCTGTGCGGCTTGAGGAGCCAGCCCTCGGCGAACCCCGAGGGCCGCGGCAGCCGCTGGGCAGCCGTCGGCTGGCATGTGGTGAAGCTGCTAAAAACACCGGCGCTGTGGGAAAGTGCCTCTGCCTCTGGCCTCCGGGGGGCGCCGCAGCCGCCCTGCTCGCCGGCCGGCTCCCCGCAGCCCTCCCCGCGGCTGCCCCGGCGGCCCACCGTGGAATCCCACCGAGTGTCCATCACCGGCATGCAGGTGCGCGGCAGCGGAGGGAGGCCGTGCCCACGAGGCCCCACGGGCGCGGGCGGGACAGGGTGTTCATGGGGCCTCGCTGACGTGTCCTCTCGCTCCAGGACTGTGTGCAGCTGAACCAGTACACACTGAAGGACGAAATCGGGAAGGTGAGGCAGGGTGCTCGGGGCCAGGCGGGAGGTCAGTGCCCGCCCACGTCCCGCGAGCACCGACTGGGCCTGGGGTCCGGCCGGCCATGTGGTGGGGCCCAGCCGGTGGGCGTGGCCGGGCCTCACCTCGTCTGCTCTGCCCAGGGCTCCTATGGCGTGGTCAAGCTGGCCTACAACGAGAACGACAGCACCTACTATGTGAGTCCCGCGGCCCCCCGGTCCGGCCGGGGTCCGATCTGGTTTGCACGGGGGCGGGAGGCGCCACGGAGCCGCGAGGGACCTCACGGGCTGCCCCCGATGGCCGTCCGTGTCCTCGTGGCACCGAGAGCGCCGGACTCGGCCGGTTTCCTGGCAGCTGGGCTCCGGCTTGGGGCTCACAGACCAGCTGCCCATGAGCAGTGGCCGGCCCTGCGCGCCCCGGACAGCTGCCCGCTCTGGCCGCTGGTGGGCCCCGGCGGGGCTGTTGCGGAGCCTCGGCAGCCCCTTGGGGGCTGGGGCCTCGGAGGCCAGCGCCCCACCCACCGGCCATGCTCTTGTCGCAGGCCATGAAGGTGCTGTCCAAGAAGAAGCTGATCCGGCAGGCCGGCTTCCCACGTGAGTGGCCGGGCAGGGCAGGCCTGGGCGGGGCAGCGGCCTCGGGGTGGCCTGAAGCAGCTCTCCGATCTCGCTGAGAGGCGGCTGCAAGGCGGCTGCTCGCGGTCAGTGCAGCCTCCTGGGCCACGGCTGTGCGCCGGGAGGGGCCGGGCCAGTCCTTTCCAGGGGCCGTGGGGCGAGCTCGGCCAGGAGAGCGGCCCGGGGCCCCAGCAGTCCCCTCCCTCCGCTCCCTCCCCGCCGGGCCCCGGCTGCGTGGGGGGCATCACCCCACATCTGCCCCTGACCTCGGCTGGCCAACAGACGTGTGGCCAGACAGCCGCCGCCCTGCCCCAGCCGGGGCCCAGTGGGGTCCTCCATCTGCGCACCCCACGCCGGATGCCCCCCTGCACCTTCCTTAACATTTGCTTTTGATCACGACACAAGCGTAGGGGACGGAGCCGCCCTGCCCCGGCGGCGCGAGTCTGGCCCCGGCCAGGGAGGGACCCTAGGCCGCAGCAGGCCCCTATCCCCCGCGGCCCTCTCAGCGGCGTGTCTCAGGGACCCGCCCGCTCTGCTCCCCGCTCTGTCTCTGGGGCGTCCTCTCCCCCCACAGCTCTGCCTGCGCCCCGGCTCTGCACGTACATACAAGCTGCGTCCAGGTCCTCTGCCTTGACCATGGGTGTGTTTCCCCACAGGCCGCCCCCCGCCCCGAGGTGCGCGGCCGGCTCCGGGGGTCTGCGTCCAGCCCAGGGGCCCCATCGAACAAGTGTACCAGGAGATCGCCATCCTCAAGAAGCTGGACCACCCCAATGTGGTGAAGCTGGTGGAGGTGAGGCCCCAGGGGCCCAGGCCACGGGCGGCGACCGCGCTCCCAGGCCGGTCACCGGCCTCCGGGACTGCGCTAAGCCCGTGTAGCAGGGGGTATGCAGGCCCCAGGCGCCAGGGCCGGCCACCGCCTCTCATCCTGCATAGCCTTCGTGGCTGCCCGACCCCCAGCAGGCTGCACCTCCGCCAGGCCTGGGTGGCTGTGTGCTCCGGGTGGCCGGCGCTTAGCCGGCCAGGCTCTGGGTCCCGTGGGCCGTCCCTGGCCCCACTGCCCGGTCGCCAACGGCCTCTCCCTCTGCTCACCCTGTTCTTTCACTCGAGCCGTTTCCGGAGCACCTGTGTGCCCACACCCCATGCGGCCCCCGAGGCGGCCAAGGGGTTCAGGCTGGTGTCTGCCCTCTGGGGAGATGGCGGAAGGGGGAAGCAGCGGCCAGCAGGGCCGGGAGCGCGTGGGGCTGGGCCGGGCTGGGCGCGTGTTCTGGGCCTGTCCACCCGCACATGTGTCCGCCGGGAATTTGCCCCTCTGCCCCTCCCCCCCGCACCCCTGGTCCTAGGTATTGTTTTGGGGCCTGGAGGGGCCTGGAACGTGCTGGCTTCCAGGTGGCCACTTGGGGCCTCCCGGGCTGTCCTGCGGACTGGGGCACGTGGCAGTGTGGCCGCCCCCCGCTCACGGCTCCCCTCTCTCCCCGTTCTGTCTCCGGCCTGTTCCGTGGCCTGCAGGTCCTGGATGACCCCAGCGAGGACCATCTGTACATGGGTAAGAGCCTCGCCCTGGCGGGCTCCCTTCCCCTGCCAGCCAGCCCCACAGCGCCCCGAGAGGCCTTGCCGGGGCTGTGCCCATCTCCCGCCCGACAGTGGGCTGTGAGCTGCTTGCTTGTCTTTAAAGATCTGTAAGAACCGGGGCGCAGGCCAGCGGTCAGAGACAGTGGGGGGCAGAACAGGCAGTCCAACCCAACATGGCTGAGGGGCGGCCGAAGCCGGAGGGGTCCACTGGGTCGGGGCTTCCCAGAGCTGCCTCAGCCCCGCGCCCCGTGGGCCGTCCACGCCTCGTCTCCACCCGTCAGGCCGCCACTGCCCTCTGATCAGGAGCACTCAGCCCCGTGTCGCCTCAGACGGCCTCGCACGGTTCCTTGGGGTCACCTGGGGCGCGGCGCCGTCAGACCTGCGCTGCTCCCACCTCCCGGAGAGCGTCCAAGCCACGGGGCAGCATCAGCCGAGGTGGCTGCGGAGGATGGGACCAGGCCACGCGCTGTCGCCGTGGGCCGCCGCGTGGGCCGCCACGAGCCCAGCCAGTCGGAGCGTGTCTTCGGCTTCCGCTGGCCGCTGGGTCGTGACCACGCCGCAGCAGTCGACACGTGGGCGTGCGAGGCCGAGGCAGACTCCGAGTGGGGGACACCTGGGACGTGGTCGCCGGCGTGGCCCTGCCCCCGAGGGGTCTGCTCTCGGGGCCTGGGACCCCGGTGTAACAGGCCCCTTCTCTTCCCCGCAGTGTTTGAGCTGGTTAACCAAGGGTGAGTGTCCCGCTGCTGGGGGGGGCGGGGGGGGCGGGCGAGCTTCCTGGGGAGGCGCTGTGCGCGGGTGGGCGCCGCCTGGGTGGGTGGTGGGTGCCGGGCCGGGCGCTGCCTGGGTGGGTGGTGGGTGCCGGGCGGGCGCCGCCTGGACCACTTCTCATGCAGCTGCCGACCTCCTAGGCCCGTGATGGAGGTGCCCACCCTCAGGCCGCTCTCCGAAGACCAGGCCCGTTTTTACTTCCAGGATCTGATCAAGGGCATCGAGTACTGTGAGCAGGGCCTGTGGGGGGCCGGGAGTGGGGGGCAGGGGGCCGGGGCGGCGTAGGCTTCCTGCTTCCTTCCCGTGGGGCGCACAGCCGTCGCGAGTCAGGGGCCGCCGTCCTCCTGGGCCCTCCCCTGACCAGCAGACACCCGTCTCCGGCCACACAGGAGGGCAAAGGCCCATGGTGGCCTTTTGTCGGGCACTTTCTGTAGCTTTTGGGGGCGCACCTGGCATTGTCCCCGATGCTCCCACACTTGGGACACGGCCCCGGTCCTCACGTATGAAGCAGCAGTAAATGTCCCTCCTGGGCCAGGGCAGCCGCACACGCCAATGCGCTGCCCGGCGGCCAAGCGCCTGACGTCCCCATGCCCGCCCGCGGGGCCTTGAGCTCAACCAGGTGACGGGGTGCGGCGGGACCGGGTGGGCACCGCTCCTGTCCCGGGCGCCAGCAGCAGCAGTGCCCAGGGGAGCGGCGCCTCGGGGCGCAGGGTCCCCTCTGCTGAAGGCACACTGGTCACATGCCCAGCCTCAGCTCACACGGACACCGCCTGCCCCGGGCACTCGCTGGGTGGCTTGGGGCCGGGCTGGGGCTCGCGTGAGCCTGCCGGTGGCCTCGAGGGCGCCCGTGGGCCCGGAGCGGCCCCTCGTGTCCCACCTCCGCTCTGCTCCGTGGGCGGCTGCTAGTTAGGGTGTCTGTTCCCCGCTTCCGGGAGCAGGGGGCCCTGGACAGCGAGAGAGCACGGGTGACCGCCGGTGGGAGGGCGGGCGGGGCCGGCCGCGGGGTCACGGCGCCGCCTGGTGTCTGCCCCAGTGCACTACCAGAAGATCGTGCACCGGGACATCAAGCCGTCCAACCTGCTGGTGGGGGAGGACGGCCACGTGAAGATCGCTGACTTTGGCGTGAGCAGCGAGTTCCAGGGCAGCGACGCGCTGCTCTCCAGCACTCTTGGCACACCAGCCTTCATGGCCCCCGAGTCACTCTCGGAGACGCGGCAGATCTTCTCCGGGAAGGTAGGTCCGGCCCTGCTCGCGGATGGGCGCTGCCGGGGGGTGGGGGGTGGTGGTGGGTGTGGGGCCTTGGGCGGGGGCTGGCCCCGCCGTGCGTGGCCTTGATGGCCAGCCTGGACTTCCAGGAGGCAAGAGGTGGATCGCACGGCCACCCTGTCCCGCGGGCCCCTTGCGCGGGGTGCGGTGCTGACCGCCCTGTCGGCTGCCTCCCGCGTCCCAGCCTGGCGGAAGAACACTTCCCAGGGGCCCCGCCGAAACCTGGGCGGGGGGGGGGGGGGGGGGGTCGGTGCAGCGAGGGCTCTACGCCTGCCCTGAGCAGGGCGAGCTGGGGGTGGCACTGCCCCGCAGGCGGTCTGTGCCTGCCCGGGCTGGGGCGGTGTCTGCGTGCCCCACAGGGCTGAGCGTCAGCAGCCCTGGCAGAGCCGGGTGGGCACGCAGGCCAGGCCGCCTCTGCTTGTCGCCGCCCCTCACGCGGGTTTTTCTTGCAGGCCTTGGACGTCTGGGCCATGGGTGTGACGCTATACTGCTTTGTGTTTGGCCAGGTAAGGGGGTGTCTTGTCCCCCAAGTGCGCCGCTGCCCCTGGCGTAGGCGTCTCCCCTGCGGGGAGACAGGTGAACGCGGCGTCCTGACATTCCCACAGCCGATGGGCACACCGGCCTCCCTCAGACGCGCCTCTGGGCGGGGTGGCCGCGGGCCGCAGGGCAGGCGGCTGGGGGGACGTGACGCGTCCCACCCTGCCCACGCTGGCGCCTGACGCAGCTCCGTTGACCGGCAGCCATGCGCCTTCCAGGGCCGCCGGCTTTGCCGCTACCCCGCAGAGTTCCCAGACGCCGGGGCCATGTGGGGCCGGGGGCAGGCACCGGTAACCTCAGCCTCGTGGGCTCTTGTCCCTGTCTGACCGCGAGACTTAGGGGCTTCTGTTGTTTTCATTTAAAGGTTCATTTACACACACAAGAGCTGGGGTACAGGCCACAGGGGAGGGGTGAGAGGACGCCCCAGAGACGGTGGGGAGCAGCACAGGCGGGTCCCCTGAGACACTGCTGAAGGTGCTGCGCACGGATGCCCGTGCACGCCCGGCCGCCGGTGTTGTCGAGTGTTTGCCTGTGGTCGCGGGGGTCGCCGGCGCCTTGGCCGCCTCTCCCACCCTCTGCCCAGCACTGCCCCCAGCGGCTCCCGCGCCGGGTGCGGGCTCCAGGGTGCGCAGGGGCGGCGTCTGCCCATCCGGCCGTTTGTTCCCAGCACGGTCACCGCCCAGCCCCGTGGTCTCCGTGAGATGACGGCGACACGCTCACAGCCACGTGCCCCGGGGCGGCAGAGTCGACCCGCGTGAGCGCGGCAGGCGC